TCAAGGAAGAGCACAGGCAGAAGGGAAAATCCAAGAGGAGCACAAGGAGGTGAGGAGCAGAGTCAAGGAGGGGCTGCCCTGAACGTGGAACCCCTCCTAGGTACCCTGGGGGCTGCAGGCACTCAATGGGGTTGATTTCTGGGCTTCCGTAACATGAGCTCACAGAGGACTCATCTCAAGGGCTGTTCTGCCCAGATCCCAGGGGGCTGAGAATCTGCATCTCTAAGCAGCTCTAGGTTGGACATAGTCCCCAGCTGGCTATCTCTAGAAGACCTGGATACCTGGGCTCAAGGCCCTAGTCCAGGAGAGATGGTAGCTATTTAGAAAGAGGCCCTCAAGGGAGACAGGTCCAGGGCCCCTCAGGGGGTAGGCTAAGGCCATGTTGTCCTTAAAGTGGGGACACGGGAATCATGGCTCACTTTGGGGGTCCGCTTAAGTTCTGAATACAGGGTCAGGAAATCTGTGACACTTACAGTATGCCGGGGGCATTCTAAACCAAATAGTCTTCCCAGAGCAGTGATTTCATCCTAATACAACAAGTAAAATATTATTTTTATATTGAAACACCTGTAGTTATTTTATGAAAAATAAAACAAAATCTCTATAAAAATTATGATGGAAAAGCACTCCAAAGAAACACGCAGCTTCACCACTGGAGGCCTTAGCACGGGACCCCCACCTTGAGAGTCTTGGATGGACTGGGGTAAGCTTGGTGGTATAGTGCTTGCCTAGCTAGCAAGCTCAAGCACCTGGGTTCCAGCCTTGCACCATAAAAAAAAAAAAGTCTGGGAGGATATTTGCCTCTCAGGGCGTACAGAGGCAGCCTGACCCAAGAGCACCTGAATCCTCAGGGACCTAGGACCTGTAGCACGCTCCCTGTGACTGGGCACTGGGCTAGGAGAGATGGGAGGAAGCAGTCTTGCAGTGGGAGGGGTTTGTAAAAGCAGAGCCCCCCCACCAACCACAGAGGGAACTTAACTGTCAAAGAGCCCTTTGCTGGAGCCTCTTTGCTACAGCTTTGGGGACCTTGCGCCGGACTCTGGACCTAGGGGAAATGCTTGAGCAGACATAGCTCTGTACATGCAAAACTTCCTCAAGCTACTACCTATCACAGCAAAAGCCCAGGAAGAGACCACACCTTCTACCTGCAGGGTCTGGCAGTGTTCTACAGCACACGGCCTGAGGGACAAGCAGTGCACAACTGGAAATGTGGATTCACTGACCTGGAAAGATCTACACACTCTGAAAAACCAAACTATGGAACAGCACAGGTACCACCCCCCTGCTGGGTAACAAGATGTGAATGCTCAGAAGTGTATACCTCCACAGGGAAGGACTTCTTCCTGTGTTCTCCATTTTTCTCTACTAGTTGCATCTTATTTGAGTCACAGTGAAAAATGTCCCTAGCAAGTTTTTCTAGTAGAATGCAGACCATAATGGCATAACTTCATTTTTCCTAGAACCATGAAGAAGCTAAACAGAGTGTTAAATATGAAAACTATGTTCGACATGGAGAGGCAATCAAAACAGACACCGAGTGCAAAAACAGAGTATAAAACGGCACGTGCTCCCTGTCTGTGGTTATGTGGATGCACAGGGTCAGGGATAGAAAACTGTCCCAGCAAGAAAGGGAAGTGGTAGCGTCAGATGGGCCAGGGTGAGGGCTTTTTCTGTCCTACTGTCTCTCTAAAGGCACAATAACGCCCTTCTTCCTAATCAGAGGCAGGCTGAAAAGACAAAGAAAAGCGTCAGACCCCAGCTTTGTGCTGGCAACTCCCACCCTCCCAGGCGGCTCTAGGTGGAGCCACAGCGCCCCACCGCGGCCTTGGCAGGGAAGGACCGAGGCCGGTGCATGGAAATGTGGCTGCTTCAGGAAGGCAGAGCCAGGACCAGATGGGAGCTTGGTTTGGGGTGTGGGCACAGCCCGGAGGCCAGGGCTGCTATGTGTGCAAAGGAACTGAGGGCACAGCATAGAGAAAGATGCTGTAGAACATAAGTTGCCTGCAAAGGACAGATTGTTCTCCACCAAAGGTGAGACAGGTAGCCCTCTAAGACCACCCACAGGAACCCCTGGGTGTCCACAAGAGGCACATTGGGAAACCTGATCTTAAGGCTCAGTTCTGCCACATACCAGGCTCTTGTCAAATCCCTGATTAGCTCTGACCTCAATTTCCCTATTTGTGAAAGGGGACAATCCTAGAGCCCTACCTTCTAAGCATACCAACTAAAGACAAGACTATAGGTGGCCTCTTGTCCTGGCTCTACCATTTGCAGGCCTTATGAGTGTGGATGAGCAACTTGACTTTGAATTTCAGTTTCCTAATATGCAAAATGAAGTCAATGCCAGTATCAGCCTCCCAGAGCTCCACTTCCTGCACTGTGCCCAAGGCAGATCCTGACAGCAGTTTGATGCATCATGACCTTTTCAAAAACTGAAACAGAATAGGAACCATCAGAGCACAATACTCTTAGTAAGATTTCATATGAATTCTTCAAACTTTTGTTTCCATTTTATAAGAAATATGTATGTCCTGAGTTATGACATACAACATCATTTTTTACTGGGGGCAAAAAGATTCAGAAAAGCTGACTCTAAGATAGGATGAGCTAATGCAAGCAAATGCTAACTAGCTCAGCTCTCAGCATTTAATAAGCTCCAAAAAATGTTACTTATTCTTGACAGAGGTGATAACACCAATTAGTGTCACATGGTTCTTAAAGGAAAAACTGGCAGGAGAGGGGATTCCTCTTAGGTGCTAAGCTTTCCTAGGGTTTGAGAGCCAGGACCCTGGAATGCAGAGCTGGGGACAGGGGATTCTGGGCCTGCTGACCCATCCCCCTAGTGAGCTGTTAATGGAGCAAGTAGGAAGTTCAAGGCAGCATTTACTAATCCCAAAGAGCATTTTCCTACCCAAAAAAGGAGCCTCTTTGCTAAGTGTGTCCTCCAGCCAAAGGCTGGCACAAACCACAGAAGTCTATCTCAGTTTGGCACTACATGTAGTTACTCAGAACAACAGAGAGTGAGTTCAAACAACGCTTTATCCATACCAAAATAGAGCCTAAGAAGGGCTTCTGGCTGGGCCAGGCTGATAAGCAGTGGCTATTATAGACTTCTGGCATCATCCACACTGCCCTGAACTTCCAGGACAAGGCTGGCTGGAGGGTCACTAAGGAGAGAGACCCCTGCTTCTGCTGTGGCTTCCTGAGCACAGGGCGCTTTTCTAAGTGTGCATCCTCATGCTCCAGCAGCCCACTGCTCACACATCCCACTGGGGCAGAGGGGCAGAGCTATTAGGGCCTCATTCTCCATGCTGAGGTTAGATTTGCCTCTGTCTGATTTCTCCCTGGCTCTAGTTCCTTTCTGGAGCAGGTCCTAGAAGACAGGGCTCCCTCCTCTCCAGACTGAGGTCTTAGTAAATCCCTAAGACATGCTCATCATGGAAGGCAGAAGGGCACCCTGGTCTTGGATCTGATTCCACAGAAAGCGGGCGATGATGACAGCGAAGGCTAACGTCTACATGACTCATTTAATCTTCTTGAGAGCCCTGAGAGGTAGGGACTAACATGAGCCCATTTTCACTGGAGAGAACTGAAGAGAAGAGGTAAATGGTCAGGGGCACATGTCTGGTAAGTGGCAAAGGCAGGATTTCAAGCCCTCCAGAGACCAGGACTTCAAACTCGGCTCCAACTCTGGTACCAGTCTTTGCCAGCTGCCCGACCTTAGGCAGGGCACTTGGCCAATGCAGGCTCAGTTTCTTTAATCTCTATAATAGGATACTTCCAGCTGCTCGCAAGGCAGGGAGACAATGAGACAAAGTACGTGAAGTACAAAGTACAATGTCCAGCACATAGTAGGTCCTCAGAAAATGTGAATTTCACTTTGCTTGGACCAAAGAGAAAAAGCAAGAGCCATGGGGTAGCTGAGTGTCCTAGCTCCCAAGCCTCAGGAAGCCACTGCCCTCTGGTTGGGATGACCTGTGTCACCAGACAGGCCCTGGGAGCAGATGTCTGAACAGTGTTCCCTGGCCCCACTCCCAGCATAGGACGATACATGTACTAGGGGCTCAGGAGCAGCTCGCTGATTGGCTGAAGGTAGTCAGAGGGCCAGGAAAGAAAAAGGGTCGCCTGGCTGGCCTGCCTCTTCATCTCCAGCCAGAGTGTGTGTACATGTGTGCGTGTGTATGCTGGGGAAAAGGACACTGTCCACTGGCTGAGGCACCCATGTGCGCTCTACCTCCCGCATCACATATAGCATTTGTGGTCACAAGTCCCCTCCAACCACACGATTCATAGAAACCTCCAACTAACCACGGGAGCAGAGCCAAGGGCAATCCTCTGACTTCACAGATGGTGAGGAAGGCCCAGGGAGGTACAGTCACAGCACCAGGCACTTGGCTAGAAGGAGAGCCCAGGCCCTGGTGGCAGGAGGCTGGGTCCAGCAGCCTGGGCTACCAAGCTGTCCTGGGGGCAGCTTGCCAGGCCTTGGTATAAAGGCAGGGGTAGGGGGCACCCAGTGACAAGTGGGGTAGGCAAGGGTACCTGAGCCTAGCCCCAAAGATGTGGGTGCATGAAGAGTGAGCAGAGAGTTCAGTGAACTAAACAAAGGGGAATGAAAGGAATGGAAGGGGACAGGAACAGCAAACAGTGGAATGAACCTAACATGACTTCCCTGTGTTCATATATGAATCCACCACAGTGAATGACCATCATGTACACCCACAAGACTGGGGCCCTAATTAGAATAAGATATACTCCATGTTTGTATAAATATGTCAAAGTTGACTCAACTGCCATGTATAAATAAAAAGAAAGAAAAAAGGTGAACAGAGAGCCAGATCCCTTGAACATATTGGGCTAAGGCCCTGTGGCTCCCCATGCCTGTGAGTGAGTGACCTGGGAAGCTCAGGGTCTTCTCAGACTCCAGAAAAGAGGGAGGGAAGGGCTGTCTCCACCAAGCCTAGAACGAGCCAAGGGGGTCCCTCTGACAAAAGGAGACTTACCGCATAATGCCCAATGGATCCAATGCCTCCTCCTCTTCCTCCTCCTCTTCCAAGGACTTTTCTGCATCCTTATGGGCCAGGATGGGTGGGCCCTCACCTGCCACTAGGTCCTGCTGCTTGAAGAAATCAAAAGCTTCCTCATCGTCCCCTGGCTGACTGGCTGTGTCATCTAGAACAGAGGAATCTCTGCTGGTGAGACCTCCAGTCCCTGGGGATCTGGTGCCTGTGGGAGAAAGCAGAACAGGAGCTTGAAGCCCACCCCAGAGCTAGAGATCACTGCACTCCCTCATGCCAGGATCTGAGGCCTGGGGCATCCCACAGCTCCCTGGGACCAAGTTCCTTCTGAACAGAATGACAGGTCTATGTGGATGGGAGGCAGCAATCATCCGGGGGGCAATCAGGGGCCTACTGCAGCTCTCCAGGGATGCCTGGCATGGTACAGTCACAGGGGGAGCTTCAGAGCAAGACCAAGGTGGTGGTTCCTGAATAGCCCAAAGCCTGTCGGCAGGGCAGGACTGGCTGAGTCCACATCCCCTGGGCTGGGGTGCGTTCCACCAACCAGTGTACAGCATAGTTCTAGAACCATCTTGCAGTGTGGGACATGGCAAGGGACTCTGCCAATCCAACCAGAGAGGCCTCACAGAGCTGGAGCAATCAGACTATGACCTCGATGAGCACAAAGAGTGAGCATGTAGAAGATTCCAGAACAAACAATATCACTCCATTACAATCTGATTTAGATCTCAAAGTGTGGCCCACAGACAGGTGTCCAGGATGACGGACATTCAGAAAGGGAGAGCAAACATCCTGAAACATCCACAGCAGCTTGGCACCCCGCAGCATCTGTGGGTGGCATTTGTGAAAGTACACGTCTGCGAAGGCTGGGAATAAAAAAGCTAGTCCTCCCCTGCGGAGAGTCTGAGAAGCGTGGGTCTGACTACTTGTTTGTCTCTATCTAAATAGTGACTGAGTAGTTTATCTTTCAGAGCCTTCACTTTTTAAAATATCTCCCTGTAGGTTAAAAAAAAAACAAAACTTAAGAGTATTTTTTAATGCCTATACAGGATGTACTTAGCAAGTGGTGATGATCATATTGTATATTCTGCTCTTTTCTTTTAGACATCCAAAAGCCCATGTCCCTTCAATTTCATGTAACAAGCATCTGACATGTGAATACACAAACCCCGTGAGACATTATTTTACAGAAGAGGAACCAGGCATGGCAGCAAGGGAAGTTGGACCACCTATCTCTCCATAAGAGAGGGGTGGGGACACCTGAACCTCTCCTCCAGCTGCAGTCACCCCTCATCACAGGCCAGGCGAGAAGAAAGGATTTTGGCTTTGGAGCAAATGGAGCAGGCAAAACCCCAGACCCTTGCACAGGGCACAGAAATAGAGTAGAAACCTGGGTTCTGCGACCCTGTCTTATCTGAGTCCTTCTGTGCACTTGCTGGTTTTGCTTCTGTCCCTGACCCTTATTTTTTTTAAATTGGTTTATCTGCTGTCAACCTTTTTTTTGAAAAATTCCCTTGTGTCCTATGGAATTAAGAGATGCACAGTGGTTAAGTCACTGACCTGAAGAGGGATAGTCAGGTAAGAGGCCAGCCCTCCCAGTGGGCCTGCCCTGTCCTCAGGGCTCAGGGAACAATTCCTGCCTTCAGGCCATGGGGCGGGAGCTGACAAGAGTGTGCTGGGGTGGGATATCATCTTAGCTACCACTTCCTGTGTGGTAGGTAGGCTCTGTTCTAAGTGCTTAACACATGACCACTTGTCAGCTGGTCACCTCCCCACCTTACAGATGAGAAAACTAAAGGGAGAGCGAAGGGCTGGGGCGCAGACTGACAGTGCTCAAGGTCTCCTTGCTGAAGACAGGGGTGCTGGGTCACAAGCCTCTCTGTGGGGGCAGAGGCAGAGAGGTAGTGTCCCAAGGGTCCTGCTCACCAGCCTAGCTGTGGAAGCACAGTTTACCCTCTATGTCACAGTCCCTAGGCCTGGCTGGCAGGAGGTGGAGGGTGTATGTATAGGGGTGTTCAGGGAGGAGCTGGCCAGGAAGCCTTGGGGGGCGCACTAGGGAGAACACACAGTGTGAGCCCATCCGGCACCCTGGCGGTCAGTCCTTCAAGAGCTCACCATTCAGCTCAAGATGTCAGTGAGGTCTACCCGCCTCAACAGCCTGGTCAAAGCTTCCAGGCTGGGGAGGGCAGCTGGGGACTGGTTCCTGCTCCGCCCTGGCAGCAAGGCCAGGTTCTGGGCCAGGGGGACTTCAGGAATGTTGGACAGAGCCTTAGGTACCTAAGAACTCTAGCAGCTCTGGGCTGCCTGCCAGCTGGGCATCCTTCGAGATGCAGCGCAGAATGTCATTGAACATGGCTGTCCTTTCCCGGATGTCAGATTCCCCAACAAAGAGCACCTTTCTGGGCAGTGGTGGCAGGTTAGCCGCTGGATAACAACTGCTCAGTTTCTGGTAAAACTCCTCGATCTCGCTGTACTTTTTGGAGACCTGGAATGAGAAGAGCACGAGGTTTCGTGAGTGAAGAGCAGGAGGGGAGAGGTCTTCTTGCCCCCAAACCAGAATCCCAACAGGAGTGCGCCTGGAGCAGGCCTGCCTATTGCTCTTCCACAGCTTCCCCACCTCAGGCTCTGGTCCCTTAGGAAAATCCTAGAGGCCCAAAGGAAAGCTGATGTGCAGCCATGGTGGGATTCCGGGTACTGCTGCAGGTCCAGGTAAAGACAATTGATACAGGGACCCTTCCCCGGCCTGCAAGAGACCACTGCCTCCGCCTCATCCTGGGCTTTCTGTTGCATCAGCTGGTGATCTCAGTAGCTGGAAGACTGTCCGGTAATCTTCCAGCAACGCCATGAGTCACCTTTTCTCAGCACAGAAATCTTGTTGGCTGTCTCATGTACGTCAGCAGCAGCCTTCCCTTCCAGCAGGGCCAATCCTAAGCCACAGTGGAATCAGGCACTGCTGAAACAGGTTCTCGGCACTGCCATCAGGACCTCTCAGCTTGCCAGGACCTGAGTGAAACTCCTGCTGAAGGTGGTCCCAAGTGCCATCTGAGTCCCTGAGGGTGGTGTTCAGCGTCCTGCAGGGCTCCAGGTTGACCACCTCTTCTTCCTCCTCAGCCTCTCCCTATTACTCCCAGGCAGCTTAATCATCTACTCATTCAATTATCAAGCTCTTGCTGTGTGTTTGCTCCACATGGAATATTCCAGCTGGCTCAGGTCTCATACGGGTGAGCGGGTGAAGCACAGAGGGTGTAGTGCCATTGTTATAGTCTGTACAATCAGGTGTGGGCTACGAGAAAAGTTACCTGTCCTATGCCACAGCCTCTACCAACAGCCCCCACATTGCTGGATTCCTCAGTGCTTCCCCAGAGGCTGGGGCTGTCTCCCTGATGAGCCTGTAGCAGTGTGGAGGGGAAAGACATGGGTGACTAACACGTGCACCCTTAGCCTTGGCCTGTCCCCTTAGCACTCTCTAGAACACTCTGGCAAGCAGGGGACAGGGACAATCCCATTCACTTGGGCTCAGGAGGTCTGGTGGTCCCCTGCGCTGGATATGTCTGGGTCACTCAGCACCCCAGTTTTAAGGTACTAAATACCAGAGATGGCTGGGGGTTTCAGAACCTCCCAAGTGGGGAGTGACCTGGGATAGGTGTCAGCAGCTGTCAGTACAAAAATCTGGTTCTCGAGCTTTCCTAAGAATATCCCTTCAGGAAAGGCAGGGGGATCCTCTCAAAGAGTGACTGGTAACACTGGCCCTGACCCACATTGTTTGGAGGACTGGTGACTCCAGCCAAGAAGGCAGAGCAGGCAGCAGTGAGGGCCGAGCGCCCCCTGCTGGCCTGAGTCCTCCATGTGGGCTGGGCCCACAGACCCACCAATCTAGAGAGCATGAGAGGACCGGAGTTCTAAGGCTGAGCTCCCAGACCATCAAAGGCCCATAGCCATCAGTGACCTGCCCCAACCACAAAAGGAGAACAAGGGAGAGGAACTGAGAGCAGAGGGAGCTGAGACGAGAACTCATGTACGTGATGCACCCCGTGCACAGGCCATCACTGGGCAGACGGTAACAGAGCCCACGGCCCCCGAACCTGTGCACATGCCTGCACCATGCTTACACACAGGGGTTTGCCAAGCCTTGAACATACTACCAGTCCTGAAGGCTAGTTTTACTTCATGGTTAGCAATTAAACATATCTATACTTTTTTAAAAAATGTGTCTTTTTAGGGAGTAGATGCTGAATGCTCATTAATTCTTTTATCTAAATCATGTAGCTCCAGAGAGATTTCAGGTTTGGGGCATGCAATTTTGGGCTACACCCCACCCCAGATCATCCCACAGGGAGGAAAGGAGTTCTGCTTTGCTTTTGCAGGTACTTCAAAATGTCTGATAAGTACCTTCCAGTGTGCTCTGGGACCACACAGGGTATGAGCATCACTGGTGAGGACAAAGTAGCACTGGTGTGGCATGTGGAACTGTTACAGACATCTTCACATACGCCCTGCATGTGAGGTGGGCCCGCAGCACAGGACAGAGCACAATGACCTGGTGCCTCTCAAGGGTTCCCACAGTGCAGCTGCTCCCTCCTGTCCAGCAACACAATCTCAAAATGTTCTCTCTTTCTGCTTTTGTCCCTGAAGAAATGGGTGTGTTGAACCCCATCTTGAATAAAGCGTGATTACCAGGAGCTGAAAACAGCCCTGCAGAGCAGAGTCACTCTTGGAACAATGCAGAAATAACCAGCAGTTCACATTCTACCTGGGTTCTCACCAAGAGTGGGTCTAAGCAGCAGTCACACGAAAAACAGCACTGCTATTTTAGGCTCTTCTCATGATGTTACTGAATGTCCCTTGAAGAAAGATTGTGCCATATATTTCTCTTAGAATTTGGTCTTTATAAACAGGTCTTCAAAGCTATAAAATTCATTGTTTCCCTTTTTTCCTTGGCTGCCAGAAGATTCAGAACCAACTTGTGAGCAAGTCTGCAGCAGGTTGCTTCCCTCTGGACTGCAGGGCTCTAGCTCATTTTACCCTGTCCTAAAATCCTGTAGCCTATCTTTCCTGGTTGCCAGGTCCAGACCCTTTTTATAAGAGACCAAAGGGTAAAGAATAAATAAATGAACATGTGAATTCACCCCTTCTTGAAACTTTCTTCCCTTAGCTCTGATGACCCCACCAGAGTCTTTCAGTTTTGACTGCAGACGTTTCCCTCTCCTTGACTCTCCCTGACCTGTGAGGGTCCCCAGGATCCCTTCCTCAGCCTTTCTCTGCACCTTCCACTTCTCCTGTTCTCCATGCAACTTCATCTACTCCCAGACTTTTAACCTCACCTCCAAGTGGATGAATCTAAAACCTGCATCTTAGGCCCAACGATGGCCCAAGCTTGCGCTTCCTGTACCATCCAGGGAAGGAGCCTGGGTCTGTGCAGACAAAGCAGGACTGAAACCCTCCCCACCCCACTCCCCACTCTCACAGCCCCCCACGTCTCCCACCATTCTGTCCTCACAGTGATGCCCACACATGTGCAAGTTTGTCTCCCTAGACTGTGCACTTTTGATTCACCCTTGTGCCCACCTGTGACATAGCCTGGCACTCCAGCCCCTGAGCAAGAACTGGATGGAGAAGTGCCCACACCCTGGTGTTTCTGCCCATCTTGACTCTAGGTACCCTTGGAACATTCTGGCTATGGTCCCCTGCTTACCAAGAACTGGACAACATCCTCAGGCCTGTGCTTGGCTGATTTGAATGCAGCCAGCCGAGTCACCACCAAGATCTGGTACTCCACATGGCCGGACATCATCTTGCCCCGCACCTCCTGGTGCTGGGGCACGGTCAGGTCAAGGCCCGTGTGGACATTCTGAACTTGCCTACCAAAGGAAAAGAAGGCAAGCCAAGTTCAGTTTAAGTTAGCCACTTCTTCACCAGTGAAATGCAGGCAGACCTGGCAATGCCCCGGGGGCCTGGGGGCCCAGCTGCTCCGCTGGCCACCCTCTGCAGTCACTGCTCCAGGCCACCTGCCATGCCACATACCAACTCCTCACAAAGCCTGCTTCCCAGGACCAGGCCTGGTCCTGCCTCTGGTATAGACGTCTGTTCCTAGCAGGAAACGGGGAAGGATTAGGCCCACATAAAATCATGAAGAGTTAAGCATCTGACACACTCAGCATGTGCTGAACCTGAACAGACGGCATCCTGGAGCTCTGTGCAGGCCAGGGAAGGAGCCTGGGTCTGTGAACCCGGACAGACTCACACCTCTTCCATCAGTGAGAAGGCAGGGGGGGTGGCTATCGTGCCTGCCCAGCTGGGGAATGAGAGTGATGCTGAAGGTGGCCAGTGAGGCACTGACCAGGCCAACCTCCACAGCTGGACAGCCAGGATCTCCCACTGGAGGCTGAGAAGGTACTAGCTAAACTATAGCTCTTGGAGAGTTTTTAATGGTATTGAGACACCAGGGTCTGTTTGGGAGCAAAGAAACCACGAGGGGTTCTCTCAAAGGGAGAACAGACATGAGGACATTCCTCATCCTGCAGACCTGTGTCACAGACCTGTGTAGACAAACGCACCCCACACGAACACCTCTGGCAGGTACACTCTTGCTGTGCACCAGGCAGGCCCTTCAGAATGCAGGCTGCGGCTCCAGGCCTGGACGGGCTTCTGGAGCTTAAACTGCTTGGTCTTGCCCTTCACTTCTGGAATTACTCCCCAGTCCATCAAACATCCATCCCCTGGGACTTGTTCCAAATGGATTCCTTGCGTCCCCACAGGGTAAACATGTTGGCCCTGTCACCAACACCAGGCAGCCGTCAAAAACTGGGAGACCAACTGTGATATGCTGCTCATGGTGTGTGCATACCCAGTGACCATACCGATGGGCACACATGAAGAACACGCTCGTGTGCTGTGCACACGGATAAGCACAAGTCCCTCCTGAAGGCCCAGCTGATCTGACTCCTGGGAGGTGTCAAAGTGCAGTGAAGGCAGAGGGATGCTCTGAGAAAAACTGGCCACCGATCAGCCCTCTCCTTCTTTTGCCAGTGGTCAAATCACAGTGTCCTCTGCCTGACTCTGAGCAGACTATGTGTGCTTGGCATCTCTCTGCTGTCACAGGACAGGAGGGAAAGGAGACTGGCGGCTAAGGTGAGTGGGACAACAACAGCGAGACCCCCAGCAGGTGGACTGTGCTAAGTCACTTCCACCTCCCATGGCCCCACAGTAGTGTGACTGCTCAAATACACCTTCAAGACAGGGAAACGGAAACCAAGGGAGGGGCGTGTGAACTCTCGGTGGGTCCAGGCAGGACCAGGGTTCAATCCTGAGAGTCGTACTAGAGCCTCTGTGGCCCCTTGGGGCATGATGAAGAAATGAGGCACCGTTTCTTTAGGATCATGATGAACAGGAAGCACAGATGGATGGGAGGACAAAGGGGAGGGTCTCACGGCTAGAAAGAAGACTGGAGGGGACCTCAGGACAAATCTCATCTCCCCTCCCGGCCCTCTAGTCCCTCAAATGCCAGAATCTCCAGTGGGCTGGGCACCCTGGAAGTGTCCCAGGTCTGAGAGCACCAGGATGCCTGTGCCTCACTGGCTGAGCTTCCCACTCCACTGCTGGAATCCCTTCGCCCCAGGCTTCGGCTCCCCTGCCTTCTCACCTAGGGCTGACCTGGCCTAGAAAAAGACCATGTTTCCAGTTTTCTAGTTGTCTGACTCCTTTGCCCCTGTGCCCTGGAAGCTCAACATACATAGGCACAAACATACCGCCTAGTCCTGCCTGAAACTCATGGCCACTAACTTCAAGCTGCAGCAGTGGCTCTGGTAATCCTACCTCTCCTTATATGTAAGTTCTCAAAGTGTGGTTCCTGGACCAGCATCGGCATCATCTGAGAACTCGCGACATAGGCATGTGCAGGTTGCTGACTCAGGAGCCTGGGATGGGCTGGAGATCTTCTCTTGTTGAGAGCCTGATGCACGTGGGCCTAATTCACTCACTCTCCATTCCTATGCCCCAAGGAAAACTTTCTTTATATAGTCCAGGCAGGAAATATTTCAGGCTTTTTAGGCCCCTTGATCTCAGCTGTAGTTGTTCAACTCTGCCTTTGGAGCATGAAAGTAGCTATAGACCACACCTTCACAAAGAGGATGTGTTCTCATAGAACCCTAAGTCATAAAAGCAAGTGGTGGGCAGGACATGGCCCACAGACATAATGTACTCCCCTGCGTCCTAGACCAAGCTGCTCAAATTGGAATGTGCCTACAAGGCCTCTGGTGATGATCTTAACATGCCAATTCTGCGTCCAAGCCCCGAGGGTGAACTCCAGCTGATGCTAACGCTGCTCTGTGCGCTGCTCCAGGGACCAGCCCTTGAATAGCAAGACATTACAACTAAATCCACCCACTATCCCCTGATAATGCTGTTTCCTACTACATTGAGAAAATGAAGCAATCAGAAGACCCACCACTGGGCTTGCTCCCTCTTGGGGCAGTGGCCAAACTGGCAGCTCCTCCTATGACAGGCCTCTCCACGGGCCGTGGACCTCGCATACATTCTCAGGAATGCAGCTTCTGCACTTAGCCCTCTTTTCTGCACCACAATGCTCTCTCCTTATGGGATCATCTGCTTGGCAGGCAGCCATCCTCTTGCTTCCCCTATAACAAAAGTTGTCCTTTGACCCCGCTTTATTCTCCCTCCAGCTCTCTCTCCCCTTTCCAGCCAAACTCAAGAGAGTGACCTATATTCCCTCTCCTGTTTACCTTGAACCAATTCCAACAGAAAAGTTGTCCTCATGATGTCCACCTGAACTGCCCTTGCCCACATCACTTGTGACCTCTGTGCTGTTATATTTGAAGGTGAATTCTCACTTCAACTGGATGGTCCACAGTGCCCTCCTTAGACCTCCTTCTTTCCGAAGTACCCTCCCAAGGCGATCTGACTAGGTTCAAGGCTTTAAATACCATTCAGAACCAATGACACCCAATTCCTTTCTGCAATCCAAACTCTCCTTTCAAGGCCATCCTCCTTCCTACCACCTTCCTGACATCTTCACTTGACTGTCAACAGGCTCCTCAAAATTAACCTGCCAGGCAAGTGCTGATTCCTTCTACCCCTAAACCTGCCCCTGAGGTCTTCCCATCCAGTAAACAGCAACCTCATTCTCTTGGCATCTGAGGACAAAAGGTTTGCAGCTGGTCTTGCCTCCTCATTCTTGTCCTCACACCCCACACTGAACCATCAGCAAACCTGAAACAATCTCCTCAACACATCCAGAATCTACACGTCTCCACCCCAACATGCTGGACCAACCCAGCACCTGCTCTCCATTGCATTCTTGGGGAAACTGCAGCAGATGCTAATGGCTGTTCTGCAGCTGCCCACTGAAGGCTCTGCTCAGATGCAGACCACATCAGCACAGCAGCCATGGGATCCCTGTGAACCAGGTCAGCTCACACTGGCATCCTATCAAGCTCAGAGTGAAGTCCCTGGCCTTTCCACCCACCTCTTCATCACATCACCTGACATTTTCCCCTGCTCCCTGCACTCCAGCCACACTGGCCTCACAAGACTGGCTCCTCCGTCCTCTCTGCCTGAGTACCCACTTTGTCAAGATTTCTTTCCCATAGCTCTTTCCCTCAGAGAGCCTAGCTGAGACCTACCCAGCTGTCAGTCTATCAGAAAGATGGCATTTGACCACACCAAATAAAACAGCATTCATTCCTATCGCTGTCTACCCCATCATTTAATTTCCCTTCCCAGGCACGTCTCATCGCTGCCATATTCTGTATCTGCCTGTGGTTCACCTGCCCCCACTAAAGAACCATGGGCAAGACCTTGTTCTGTTCACCACTGTATCCTAGAATCTGGACAGATCCCTGGCACAGGACAGGCCCTCAGCACCTACTGGCTGAATTAATGCAGCCAGTGGAGGCTGGGTGGTGAAGGGAAGCTGGGTGGTGGAGGGAAGCTGGGCTGGGAACATGAGCTGCCCCCAAGGGAAAGGCCACCTTCACTGCTGGACTAAGGCATTTGAACATATTCTGCAGGCAAGTTCTTTGGGTCTGCCAGTACCTGCTGGAAGGAGGGAATGAGCAGGATTCTCCATCAGCAGCACCTCATGCCTGTTAACACACCATGTGTGTGGGGAGTGGGGGGTAGGCAGTGACGAAAGCTCCCTTCCCAAGTACCCAGCCCCAAAGTCACACTCTATAAGTCTACACAGTGCAACTCCAGGAATCTGCTGATGTGCTCTTACCTGTTTCTCCAATTTGCAGAAAAGGAAACTGAGACTCAGAAAGAGGAGACTTTCTAGGCAATAGGGTAACCTCTTCTGCCAACCTAGATGCAACCTGCAGCCTCACTACCAAGCAGAGACCAACAGGTTCCAACCCCAAGGCTCACAGAAAGAATTCTATTCTTTTTAGACTTGAAGTCACAGGTAGCTTAGGTTACAGCTGGAATGTTAACGTTTGGATTGGGCCACACATTCATGTACATGACAAACTGCTCTCCTAGCCCAAGATTTTGTGTTACAGCACAGGTGTGGCATATATGAAAATACCCCAAGTGCATCACTGCGGCCTTTTAAAAGGGGGAAAGAGTAAAACCACGTTCCTCCCAGTCTTTCCAGGATCTATCCTGGCGGGTCCTCTAGGTCTGACCCAGGGTGGACTCATCAGGGGCCTCTGCTGCAGCTTCACCCTGAGCTCCCTCCTTGGCAGCTGCCCCTAGTCTCTTCCACCGGGTTAGAGCGTTCCATGGCAACCGGCACGCACAGCTGTCCCAGCACCTGCCACCTGGTGCGGGTCTGTCCAGTAGGGCCCGGTGTCCACGCCCAACCTGGCCCACAGTGAGCGCCGGAAAGGTGGGGAACTCGATCTTCAGGCCCCAAAGAAAAGAACCCAAGTGGGAAGAAAAGGGGAGCAGTGGCTCCTCTGGGGCGCCTGCACGGACCGGCAGGGCGCCGGCCTTCCTCTGGGTCTTGGGTGAATTCTTTACCCTCTGGGTGCCTCAGTTTCCTCATCTGCAAAAAGGAGACACTCGATGGCACGCCACCTCTCACGCGGGGCGGCTGGGCCTGCAGGAACCGCCCGGGGCGCCGCGGTGGCGGCCTGCGCCTGCCCCTCCGCCCCGCGCACCCGGCTCGGCTCTGCGGGAGGCGCGGGACGGAGTCTGGCTCACCTGGAGGTGACGAGCACCGCCGGGGACTGCATGACTGCGGCGGCTGCGGGCGGGCGGGCGGGCGCGCGATCACGCGATCCGGCGGCGCCGACGTCGCTGCGTCCCCGCTCCGCGCTCCTGGCGCCGCGCCGCCTCTCCGCTGCCCCCTGGCGGCCGTAGCCGAGTTCAGTGGAGCCTCCGTGGCCCGGGGCCCGCAGCGACCTACGCTGCGACTCCCGGGTCCTGCAACCAGCTAGAAAACACTTATCCCAGGGCCTGGCGTGGTGACATTTGATCGGTGCATTGTGTGGCGCTAATGCTTAGCTCCTGAAGAGACAGGACTGCTGTTTCTACTGCTGGTCCCTCTCTTTCCCTCCTGGTGTTAGGTAGCTTTGAACCTGTCAGTCAACAGAAGTCTACTGGGCTGGGACGTCCCGCTGTGGAGACTGGGGACTGCAGAGCCAACACCACGGTGTGTCACAGGCCTGCTGCCTCTTCCCTTTCCCGCCCTGTCCTGGAGGCGCTCTTCCTCCTACTGCCGGCTCACACTCGGTACCCGCAGGCACTCTGTCGCACTGAGGAGCTTCAGAGAGCCACTGGCTGGGGGTTAGCAGAGCGGGGGAACCCCTGGCCTGCCTTTAGGTCCCCAGCTGGGGGCCAGGGCAATGGGGTCCCAGGAACAGTTTTCCTCAGAAGGTGGCTTTGGTGGCCTGCAGAAGGGAACAGACATGCTCGGGGTAGATTCACCTCTCCTGAGAAGCAGAAGTCTGTTACCTGCCAAAGTGGCCCAGGAAGAGAATGGCTAATTCTGGAAGCAGGGTCAGGGGACGGGTGCAAACTGTGGCCCTTATCCTGTTGTAGGTACAAAAGCCACAGAAGCTGGGGTTTAGCCATCCCAGAAGGCAACATTGGGTGTCCTTGACTTCGCTGACAAACCACTACCATCATCCTCAACATCATTGTTACCTTGTACTTTAGTGAAGAAATCCCACAGTAAAAAAATTTGAAAAAAATGACTTTTCCCGCTGTGTCTTTTGAATAAGGTTTCATATGCCTTACTGGTTTTTTTTTTTTTCCTTTTTCTTTTTTCCAGATTTGTTAACAGACAAGATAGCAATAATGGAGAGAAGGGTGGCCAAGTAAATGAGAGTTCTGAGGGGGACCCATGAGGCTGCAGGGGAGAGGCTAGAGGCTGGGGAGCCACAGCCTGCTGTCTGCTCATTGGCCTGTCTGTAAGGTAGGCTTGTGGCAGCGAATTGTCTCCGTGTCTTATTTAAAATGACACACCCTTTTTTAGAGGAAGGGAGCTTGGGGCTTGGTAGAAAACAGCCTGGGCTTAGCATTCTGGGAATCTGGGTGTGGTGCTCACAGTGCAGCAATCACCACTGCATGTTTACCCAAGACACATGATGTGCTGGGGACTGAGAATCTGCAGTGAATAAGACACATTTTCTGGCTTCACAGGGCTTCTTTGCCTTCTTTCCTTGGGAAGGAAAAGGATCAGAAAAGGCTTTCTAAAGGAGCAAAATCCAAGGTAAACCCTGAAGAAATAAAAATGGCAGGGCTTGTGTAGGGTTATCTACAAAGCCCTAGAGATAAGAAAGAATGTGTTAGGGAATGAGCAGAGGCAGCAAGAAGAGGCTGGGGCCTGGAGAGCCTGGTGCACCAGGTTTGAAGCTCTGCATGGATCCCGAGGCCAACACAAGGCCATCTGAGGGTTGCAGACATAGGAGTAGTCTGGCCAGCTAAGCTAAGGGCGGTGACTTGGAGCATGTTATGCTCAAGGTGAGAAGATAAGAAGAGTTGTGGAACAATCCAGACTGAAGATAGTGATGGCATGAGCTAGGGTGAGGGCTATCCAGGAGGAGAAGAGGGGACAGGTTCTGGAGAAACCTAGAAGATGGAGTTGGTCAAGGCCGGAAAATTAAATGGATAGGAGCCAGAGGAGCAGAGATGCACTATGGTTTGCTTCCTGGGAATGGCTGGACAGTGGTGTTATTCTCTGGGCAGGGCACTTGCCCAAGGAACATAATTATGGTAGATGATGAGTCTGTTTTGGACAAGTGGTGCTTGAGGGTCTGGCGATGTGGAAGTGATTGAGTTTATGGGTATAGGCCTCAGGAGGCCGAGCAGGGCTGGAGGTACTGATGTGGGGGTCCTGGGTAGAAAGGAGGCTGGGGTTGGGATGAGCCCACCTGGTGAGAATCCATAAAGAGACAGTTCAGAAGGGTCTAGGAAAGCAGAGGTAGAGGCTGCAAAGGAGGGGACTCCCCATGGATGTGCAGCTGGTAGCATGTCTATCATCAATGCCTTGTGAATAAAGGAGGAGACTCACCCCTGGTCTGGTCTGGGTTTGCCAAGTGTGCAGGACGGGGGCCTACGCACTCCTGGTGCCTGCTAAGAATGCAAGTCTTCCCATGAAAGTGACCCCATCCCTGATAGCAATCCCATTTTCTGCCTCCGTGGGTCCTGTCTGTCCCTGAGTGGCTCCAGTCCATAATTGTCTACAATGCATGGAATGTGGGCTCTAAATCTGATATTTTCTGCTTCCTGCTTGACTCGAGGAGGCCCTTCCATGGCTGCAGTTGTGATAACACAAACCACATTGCAAAAGATTTCCTCTTCCTCTCTTTCCCACTGCCCTGGGAGGAATGCTCCCCGCTTGTCTCCACCAGGGGAAGTCCCTGGCCTCAGGGGCAGTGTGGTCAGAGGAGATATCCGCAGTAGTGGTGATCTGAACTCTGGCCATGCCAAGCACTGAGATTGTCCTGTTTCTCGTGTGGTGGGTCTTCTTGGAATCTGCTGATTTATTTCTGTCCCCTAATGTGATGCTTGAGAGGTTCTAGGGGTCTGAGCACCTCCACATGGAGCAGGGCCACCACCTTGCCTGTCACTCAGCCATTACTCATGCCAGGCCTGGGGGCTGCAGAAAGAGTTAGAGGCTTGTCTAGGGGCGCTCTTAGATGACTCAGGGACAGTTGGAGATTTCAACAGGGAAGCTGACCCAGGGGACTGTGGGTGCCCTATGGAGATGGAGGGCACATAGTAGCCTAGGTTTGGAGTACACGTGGAATTCTTCCAGCAGGAGGTAGTGTTAAATGCCAGTCATGAAAAGTGGGTGTTCTCTCTTTGAACCTTGCTTTTCTCCTTAAAGATACGGGTACAACAGAAACTTTTAATTCATATCATTGCTGCAAATTAAGTGAGATCCAGTGTGATTGAAATGAAGTGAAGTACGTGGCAGGCAGTGTTGATCAGATATGCAAAAGCTACCTATACCTATAGTTGGCCTCCTTCCTCTTGCTTTTATAGCCGTACAGGCTGGAAAGATAAAACACTCACTACGTTCCCTTTGTGATTAGAAAAGGCCATCTGATACATCTCCGGTATGTATGTAGAAGTCCCTGTGGAAGGTTTATCTTGCTAGGAGAAAACTCTTTGTCCCTTCCCTCTCTTCTCCCTGGAAAGAGGATTAATGCTGGATACAAAGCAGCCATCTTGGGAGCATGAGGCACAAACATGAGTTTGGAGTTTACACATTGAGGATAGAAGAGCCTAGGACCTGATGGCATATGAACTAGCATATCAGACCTGGACTCTTTCTCTAGACTTCTTACATGAGTATCTAAACACTCTAAGCGGGATTTCCTGTAGTGGATTCCTTGTTGATACAGTTGTGAAGTACTTATATAACATCTGGCATAAAAACTGCCTCCTGTGGGGTAGGGATGATTGAGGAGGAGGAAGAGAAGAGATAAAGTGTGTTCTAGGCAGTGGTACAAAACCAGGTGTCTTGAGAGAGACAGAACATTTTGGGGAGCCGGGGAGGAAGGCTACAGGGGGTCACTGGGAGAGCAAGTGGCAGAGGCCATCAGAAGCCTGTGATGGAAGGACCTTCTGTGCTATGCAAAAATTTAATGGGCTCACAAAACAAAGGGAAAAGCATGTTTCAGGAGGAGGACCGGGGTGTGATTAGCAAGGGCAAATGCTCAGTCCATCAAGGAAGGTAAGAAGGTACCAAAGGAAATGCAGTTGGGTCGCAGTTAGAGTGGTCAGACAGACTTTATTCTGGACTATTGCATGAGAGATGGGGACCATAATACAGAACTGAACTCAACTCCTCATACAGCATGGTGGAGGAGTTATAGCCAAGTAACAGGGTGGGAGCAGTGGATGGAAAATACCAAGAAACATCAGAAGTTCAGGGGATCCTGATTAAACCAAATTGACAGGATTCTTGCTGAAGACCAGCTGGGTGACGAGGCATGACTTGGCAGAAACCTGGTCAGATGTGGAAAGTGGAGGTTCTTGCTAAACTCTCTTAACAGGGATCTTGCTAAAACTGGGTGTTATGGTTTGGACGGGAGGTGCTCCCCCCGCCTCCCACCAATCTCCTGTGCTAATGCAGGAATGTTCAGGGTGAAATGACTAAATCATGAGAGCTGTGACCTAATCAGTGGACTATCCATTGGTGGATTAATAATTTGCAAAGACTGCTGTAGAGGAGGGCAAGGGTCGGCAGATGGGCTGTGCCTAGAGGATGTGGGTCACTGGAGCCATGTCCCCTCCCTTCCCCTCTACTTCCTGGCCATCTTGAGCACAGCAGCTTCCCTCTGCCAGGGCCTTCCACCATGATATCTGCCTCAGATCGGCTCCAGAGCCATGGAGTCAGCAGACCATGGAACAAAACTCTGAAATTGTGAGCCCAAATAAACTCTCCTCGACGTTGTTCTTGTCAGGTATTTTGGTCAAAGTGACAAAAACCTAACACGCACATTAGGTTTTACAAAGGAGTAAACAGATGGGCATAGGAGGTGGTTCTGGGTGCTAACTAAAGGCTGGTTAAGTTAAGAACCTTTATCAGAGAGAAGAGTCTCCTCTGGCCTGGAGGAGGTTGGAGTCCCTGTGGGTCAGGAGGAGACTGGAAAGGAGAGGGGAACACAGGAGCGAGGCACCCACTTCCACAAGCTGCACTTGGAGCCCAGGAGATAAACAGAGGCTTTAAAATGATAGAGGAAGAATCCATGCTCATGGTCGAAAAACTAGAAACTAGTTAGAGAGATAGATCAC